TTTTTTTTTTTTTTTTTTTGAATAAAAACGAGATTTGTGATATCCCATAACTGGTTTCCATGGATTGATTTAGATTGAACCATTTAGTTGTGTTGATGATGTGTAGTTTAGTTGTTATGGGTCTCTGTAAGCTTCACCTTTTTAAGCTCAAATTATGGAGGTGTACTAGTGATGTGAGTGTGTTAAGACTGTTCAATTTAATGATGCTGGATGATACGATGTCTTTTTTCCTTTTTCATTCGTTGTTTGTGGCTCTGTTTTTTGTTTCATTTAAAACTGGCGAACTGTTCAAAGTAGGCAAAAAAAACTCACTATAGTTGTATTGTCTAGTGGCAAACGCTATTGTTTTTGTTCGCCATGGTTGTTACATTGAGACCCCATCTTTTTGCACAATCTGGGTGGTTTTCTGATGGTTCAAATTTGTTCTTGTTATCTTTGTTCTGGTTTGTTCTGTCTGAAGGGCAAAATATCAGGAAGCTTGTCAAGGATGGGTTCATCATCAGGAAGCCCACCAAGATTCACTCACGATCCCGTGCCCGCAGAATGAAGGAGGCCAAGAGAAAGGGGCGTCACTCTGGATATGGTATTGTTTTAGATTTTATTTATTATTTTTAGTCCATTTTCTGGATATATTATTTTTATTCCCCATCTTTGTAGTCATTTTTGGCCCTCATACCGAAGTCCTTTCAACAGTTATTCTTTCTGTTTCTGCAATTGTGAATTTGGTGGTCTGATTGAGCTAAAAACGAAACTTAGTTAAGCTCAACAGTCAAAGTGAGCACCTTTATTTATTTGGATCTTTGTGTAAACATTATTAATAATCGATTTCAGGTAAGCGCAAAGGTACCAGAGAGGCTAGGCTGCCCACTAAGGTTCTTTGGATGAGGAGAATGAGAGTTCTTAGGCGCCTGCTCCGCAAGTACAGGGAGGCCAAGAAGATTGACAAGCACATGTACCATGACATGTACATGAAGGTGAAGGGTAATGTTTTCAAGAATAAGCGTGTTTTGATGGAGAGCATCCACAAATCCAAGGCTGAGAAGGCTAGGGAGAAGACTTTGTCCGACCAGTTTGAGGCTAAGAGGGCAAAGAACAAGGCCAGCAGGGAAAGGAAGATTGCGAGGAGAGAGGAGCGTCTAGCGCAGGTATTTGTCCTTCGGTCAAAGATCACCTTTTGCGTTTATTTTAAAACTGATATGTACTTGTTAGTTGTTAGCTCATTAATTAGTCCCTTTTGACTTGTATATGATTTGTAATTGCTACCTTTGTGTTGCCATAACGTAGTATTGCTCTTTTATTAGCTGTTTTTTTCAACCTTCTGTTGTATGAAAAATTTATTGTCTTTTTATTTTTGTAGGGACCGGGAGAGAAAGCAGCAGCAGCAGCTGCAGCTCCTGCGCCCACATCTCAACCAGCTCAGTAAGCCTACTTTTCTTGTTCCTTAAATCTGTAGTCAAATGTTTTATTTGCTGGGACACTGGTCTGACTGTTGTAATAATTGTGGTGCAGGGGTACTAAGAAGTCTAAGAAGTGAACTTAGAAGAACAGCCTTTGGATTATTGGTGGCTCCATGTCATGTTTTTGTTTATTATCTTGTTCTAGAGCTTTTGATCTCTTGTTTTCTTGTCACTATTGCATAACTATGTTATCTAGTTCAAGGAGGTTTAAAAGTACTTTTACCTTTGTTTTGACTATTGTGTTGTTAAGTAAACTCTGTGGTTTTACATTATCTCCCTGATATTCATTCTCATCTTTGGTGAGATCCTCAGCCTGTTTATTGTGGTTAAAATTTGTTCTCTCTCGGGGTTGAATGTTTTTTTTGCATTTTGGATTTAGCTGGAAGAGGCGTGTGCTTTGTAATTGTTTTGGTATCTTTCGGAATTCGACTTTTTGGTCATGTTACGGTCGCAGTATTAGATGTTGATGGTCCTAAGCACCATTTTGACCTCTTGGGGGTTTGATAAAATCATATATGTGTTGGGGATTTTGTTGGAATATTCACTTCGAATGTGAATGTTACTTCTAAGCCTTACATTTATTTCTAAGCCTTACATTCTTATTACAAATTTTTGAGCTGCTAAGTAAAAAGTTGTACAAACGATTGTGCTTTGTTTTCGCACATCTCAGTTAGACTTGTTTTTGGATAGTTGATTTATGGTGTACTTTGTTTTCACAGATCTTAGTTTGTTACAAAATGAATTTCCTTGTTACAAAATGATAGAACATGGTTTATAACAAAGATGAAGCTTCATTATGCACCCACTTATGAGTTTCCTTGTTACAAGATTAAATAAATGTTGTAACAAGAGAAGAAGCCTCACTATGTATCCATAAACCTTATTAAGTTTTCTTGTTACAAAATTAAATCAATGTCACAATAACGCAAAAGAAATATATCTATAGAATAATTGGAATACTCTAAAGATAAAATCATTCATGCTAATAACGTGTTACAAAAAATTATTGTTGATAGTCATATATGCAGAACCCCAACAGAACTTATACTATCAGAGCTGTGAGCAGGTGGGGCTAAAGACGCTACAAATAATTTTCTCAATTCCCAAAACCGAGCATTTTATAGGCGAAATTTACCAACAAGTCGTACATGTAACTCACTAAACATACCACAATGGTTTTGCAGTTGTATTGAACTATTAATTGCAACAGTTATGTGTTCCACAATGATACGTTTTTTCAAACAGTGCACTAACAGAAATAATCCGGCTCTCAATAGCCTCAAATATATGACTTGTTATAGAGTCCAAAGGATTATATTCTGCACTAATGCGAACTTATCATCATCATCATCATCATCATCATCATCATCATCATTATTATCATAGCCATCACAAGATTGTCCAGAATTACTTAGAACAAATTTTCAAAATTCAAGAGCGTGCATAGAAAGCGGCCCGCGAGTTATCACCAACTTTACCTTCACAATGGTTGAGTATGTGGATCGGGAGGGAACACCGTAAGCAGAAAGCGGTGAATCATTTCAAAGCTGGTAAATGTAATTACAGCAGCTGGGGTTGTTCTGAACAGGTTAGTTGCACACCCTCGATAGAAACCAGGGATTCCCTCTTGCCCATATACTTTCTTTATACAGTCGACAACACCAGAATACTGCTTCTCCGAGTAGTACCCTTGCTCTTGAAGCCTTGACCGTACAACCTGTGCATGCCAATAAACGGATCTTAATATATTTAATTAATATAAAAATCTCAATTGTGGCTCGAGTCACATATTATAGGTATTTTGAATCTTCATTTTCTTTAGAATTCCTAGTCACTAATTTTATCACCAACTCAACAAACAAAACTATGTATGATAATATAGATAAGTGATAAACCCTTCTGTTATATCACTGAACATAATCTAAACTACCACATAATTTGTAGAGTGTAAAAATAGACAATCGGGGTATTAGTATTGAGGAAGATACGAAAACAAAACAAGAAAACTTGTACAAGAAAAAAAGTTTCTGCATGCTGGAAATACAAAAGAATGATAATAAGGAAATCTCTTTTGCACTAACCTCATGTGGATAGGTCAATGTAGAAGCAAATATTTTCGAAACTGATGAAGCAACGGCAACATCACCTGCACTAAGGTTATCTGCTGTCGTTTTTCCTGAAGTCATCACAACAATTTCAGAGGATTTTCCAATATACAAAGGGAAAAACAACAACAGGATCATTATTTTCATTTTTTAGTGAAAAATGGTGATTACATACGCCTCTCAGCTAAGTAACTTTTTATCTTCTCATATGTAGGAAATTGAATTGCAACATGACTAATACCAGCTAGAGCCGGCACAAGACCACTGCAAATCACGAAAAAAAAAAGGGAAACATCACTTCATGTAAAATTGACTGAAATATATTGTCCGGCATAATTTTGAAAGAGGTAACTGACCTATACAATCCACAAAAGCCCTCTTCATGTAAAATTCTTCGCAATGCAGATAAGGTCCCACTATAAGGCACCACACCACTTCTCATTCCTTGTGTCTGGACGACATATCACTAGGATTTAAATTAATCTTTATAATGAAAAGGACAATACAGGGCGTAATCAAATTAATATATATATATAATATTTATATATATATATATAAGCATGTATAATAAACATAGAAGTATTTCCTATCAAACTGCACAAATCAATAAAAAAATACTTTTAAATTTATTTGAAGATGAATAGAAGTATTTCCTTTCAAACTGCACAAATCACTATATCATCCAACATATAAATTATATCAAGTATGCATATGTGTATAACAAACTACTTTTCTGTCTAAACAATAAGATTGATTTAAAAAAAATACTCTAAATAAACTACGTTGCAGTACAAGCGCAAAATTCACTTAGCTCCAACGTAACGTAGTTGAGGGAAACAAAAAAATTTGATTAATGAAAAAAACAAATGATTTGTGACAATGTATTTCCAATTCTAAAAAAAAAAAAACTCATTTCAAATACATACCTAGTCCATTTTAAGCTTTAAGTCAAACATATGAAGAACTTTAGATCTTGCATATACTTTAACATTAATTACTTCTACTAAGCATCATCAATATAAAAAAAACCAAACTAGATTTTCCAAATGACAGAATGCAAGAATAACTGCCGGATATAGACATACTTGAAATCTTGTTTTGACGACCCAAAGAGGATTTGTTACAATAGTTGTTGCAGCTCCAGCCCCAGAAGCAGCCATCATGTTGGCACCAATGGAGAGCTGATGATTTACATCTAAAATACCAGAAAATAGAAAAGGATTATCAATAAACAACAGAAAAGGGAAAACCCTGTTATAATTACTCAAATTGTAGAAAAATGATGTGGTTTCCTTTCATCTGTGGGGAATATTTAGAAAGGATAAGCAAATAAAGAACTAACCATCAGCACCAAGAAAACTCTTTAGTTGTTCATAAATTGTAAAATACACCTGCGAAAAAATAACTGTTAAGTAATTATCCCACTGAACTCGCCCCCCTTCCAGAAAACGGTAGAAAAACTTGCAGCTTCATTTTAGTGAAACCAATTATCAAGATAACTCGACAAAAAATTACAAACAACTATACATGATAGAACAACTTACTGCCCAATTTGGAAGCAAAGCAAGCACTGTCGGGGAGAGCCCACGGTACATACCACGCAACCCCTCTTTTTGAAAAATACTTTCTAAACTTCCCAATATAACACTACCTGGTCAATTGTAAACAAACAACCATTCACTATACTGATATCGTATTAAAAAGTGAAATCTTGAGAAAGAAGAAGGAAAAAGAACAAAAGTTCTAGTCCCAGTGAAAGAAACGAGATCACCGACCTCTTATATTATTGTTAGCACTAGCAAGTTGAAGCCCATGAACCTGGAACCTAGTCTTGATAACATCTAAAGGGCAAACAAAAGTAGCTGCAATCGCACCTGTCCCAAATTTCAAAACCAAACCTCATCAGAATTCCAAGCCCAACACACCACTCCCAAACACGCACAAACCAATCAAACATTATAACCAATCAAAACAATAGAATAACAAAACAGTAAAGTTAACAATTTCGTTTAGCATGGATGAAATTATCCCATGAAAAACATGTTGTAAAGAACTAAAACAGAGCCATCTGATCTAATTAATGGGGAGAGAGACAGAGAGAGAGAGAGAGAGAGAGAGAGAGAAATTAACCGGCGGCAGCACCGGCACCAGCATTGCAGAGGAGGCCTTTAGAGCTAGGGTTATGAGTACTGGAAGCCATCGACAAATCCACTAAAATCAACACCTGAAAAACCAACAAATCTTCCCGAGCCCTGGGTTTTAACAGCTGCTGCGGTGGTAGAAAAGGATCCCTCAGTCGAGAGGCCGATCGCCGACGAAAGCAACCGTCGCATGGCCAGGCGCCGCGCCGCGCAGCGTGATCCTCAAGCAGACATCGATCCGATTCAGGCAACCTCGAGCAGAAAATCCAGCTCAAGAAGTAACTTCCTCAACAACAATTCCAATTACTTCGGATAAGAACTCGATGAACAAATGGGTAGATGAAAATTAAGGTCTTTCAAACAAAGATCGAAGAAAGATGGGATTGCGAATCAGAATCAAATGGCGGCTGAGATGAGAGGGATCTGAGCAGAATCTCACACGCACCCGCTTTTGAGCGTATGGGGGCGAAAATGGGAAAATTATTAAGAAAAAGCGATTAAAATATTATTTATCCTCTTTGGAAAAAAGGCCGAAAGTGACAAAATAACGAATTAATAAATTTTAATACATAATTTTATTTGTTTATTATTTTATTTTGTGCGTGTGATGCAATTCAATCATTTGGTAAGTCTATTTGTGGTATTTTTAAATAAAACATACATATTTATACTATAAAATATTATATATCTTTTATATTATGTTTTTTATAATATATATATATATATATACATAATTTATATGAAATTAAATAATACCAAACAATTATCCTCACACACCGTGTTAACTTTTTAATTCACTATTCGTGCATAATTTTACTACTCATCACTTTTGATCATATTTATTTTGTTTTTACGTCAAAACAACTTCATCATTATATTTTAAATATTATTTTAATTAACAATTTTTTTAAAAAAAATTAACTCTGGTTAATCAACGAATCAAGTCAAAACCAAAATGCATATTCACTTACCCATATTATCCTTTTGATACTATTACACTCGAGATATATAGTAAATTATTAAATATCCTTGTACATATATGTATCATAATAATAATATATGTATTTAATAGTAATTTTACGAAGTTGATTGAAAATTTTCGAACCGAAGTCGAGCCGAGCTCGAGTATTTTGAATACGAGTCCAGCTCAAGCTCGTATTTCTTTATCGAGTCGAGTCTCGATAATCGAGCTCGAGCTAAAAAAAAAAATCAATCATGCTCGATAAGCTCAGCTCAGCTCGGCTCGGCTCGGCTCGGAGTGCTGCATCTAGCTAAAAAGTAAATGGCCATTGTCAAATGAAATTGCTGGTGTTTGAAAATGAAACACAATTTTATCTCGTGTAATAATATTAATGAATTATTTATTGCCCAACTATACTATAGTCCAATTGGATAGATAGTTGCATGTGGAGGATGCTAAAAATCAGACCGACTATTAGCCACAAGTGGGTCCCGCCGAGCTTTTGACCGAGAAATTGTAAGTTGTAAGACCGTCTCCAATCGACATCCAAATTGCAAAAATTGGGGTAAAAGAACTCCAACCGAACGGCAAAGAAGGACGCAAAATGGAGTATTAACTATTATTCAAGGAAAAAATACATAATTTTTCCCTTCTGGAGCGTATATGTAATTTTTATTATGATAAAAAATATTTTCTCTAATTATGACAATTAAATAATTTGAGTTATTAGATAAAATAATTTTATATTATAATTATTTTGCTTGTAAAAATACACTAATTTGTTTGTGTGTTGTAATTTTTAATTTTTCATCTTGTGCGTTGTAATTTTTAGTTTTATCTTATGTATTGTAAATTTTAATTTAAAGTATATTTATTGCTCCGATTTATTATGTATATGATTATAACTTTATAATTAATTTTATTACATAAAGTTCAAATTGAATTTAAAATATTAGTGTGGTTTAATTTGTAAAGTTGTAAAATATGTAAGTAGTAATGAAAAGTTGTAAAAGTTGAGGTAAAAGAGAATATTCTTTTGGGTTTGAGAATTAGTTTTTCGGTTGGAGATGAATTACTGAAAAATGTGACAGTTACTGCAAAATGAGTTTGAGAATGGGTTTTTCGGTTGGAGATGGCCTAAAAGAAGCCAAAGACGACATAGCGTTAGCCCGAATTTGAAATTATTGTAAAATGATGTCATAAATTTAAACATTGCTAATTATAAAATTTTAAAAATATAAAATAAAATTATTAAATTGTGAAATGTCTCTCTCTTTTTTAAAACATTTATTATACTAGTCATTCACAAATTCAAAATTAATATATTATTCTAACCAATCATTTTTTTTATCACTCATGCCAAGTTAAATCATATGAATTCCCTTTTAATTATTGAATCACTTCTAACTTTTTTTTTTCTTTATAGAGTTTCACTTAATGCAAAATAATAAAAAAAAAAAATTGCAAAAATAATTTAACAAGTTTTATTATTAAACAATGACCTTATTGATGTAACATTCATAAAAATTGTTGTCTGGATTCCATGTATTTCTGATTGATATAATGTTAAACAATAAAAGTAACATATAGTGATATAGTCATAACTCGGCTAAAATGAACCGCTCTGAAGTAAAACAGGTCGACCGACTTGAAGAAAGTCCAGGTCGACCTATGGGGAATACATGTACACAGGGGACGTGGGAGTGAGCCAACTAGAGGTATGGTAGACGACCTAATGAGAGGGAATGAGACCTGGTGATACTTGACGACTTGTGGGCACTTGAAAATAAGAGTCGAATGGGGTCTAATGAGAATAAGAGACAATCTAATCAGGATAAGAAGAAATTTAATGATGATGAAGATGAGATTCAGATAAAGATTAAACCTCCGGGCTCGAGCAGCTAGGCAGTTATGAGCAGGCTGACCAGGGCAGTCGGGCAGCAAAATCTTGAACACCAAGGTATTTTCATATAAAAAAGGGTTGAAGTACATCTGAAATATTGTCTACATTATTTATACATTGCATACAACTCTATTGTTACAGAGCTTATCACCATGTTCCCATTTACTAGCTTGAGCATTGGAGTGCTCACGCCGGGAACAACCACAACACTTGTTTTGCAGATTATCAGCAACTCAGGGACGATCGGAAGTTTTCTTCAGCCGGTTCAACCCAAATCCATTTCCCCGGCATATCACATAGTTCAACTATAAATAAAGATATTCTAGTTGATTTATGCCTTCTCGCATATTGAATAAATACATCATTCTTTAGTTCAAGGGAAATTTTATAAATAGGAGATTCAAATTATTTTTTGCCACCATAAATGATTAAAGAATTTTCTTTAGTACTATTTAGATTTGAGCTTCGAAATGCTATATTCAACCTAACTCTTGGTGGTCTCCTGTAACAAGCATATCACTTCTGTTAAATCAACAAATTGATGAATTAACTAGATGAAATACATAAGCGTATAATGCAATTATATGAAAACTCATGTTAAAAGCTCGATGGCGAATCAACCTGCTCTTCTTCTCAAACTCAGAATCAAATGGGAAACTGCATCTACTATCCAACAATTGCACAACACATAACATTAAGATTAATTAAGATTAAATACATAGATGAGTGTCCTATACATAGATGCACACATTTTCGGTTAAATTCCACCAGCAACATTTTCTGCTCTCGATAAGCAAGCATCGACAAAAACCGAAATCAAGCAAAATCCAGTTCAATCTCAAATCACAAGTCATCAAACATAGTGGAAAGTACTAATCCCCCTACAAATTCGCACCTCATTTTCCTCTCATTATTTGAGTCCGTTGATGGAGTTGACTGTACTCTGCAGACGACATCATAAGAACAAACAACTAATAAAACGTGTAAGTCGTAAGCTAGCAATTTCCAACAAGAACAAATGAAACTCACCGAGCTCGACTCGAAACATTTATAGTGCCAAATCAAAGACACACACCGCATATAAGCATAGATTTACAAGCGTGAAAAAATATTTGAGAATTTTACATTCGAATGTTTCTAGCTCAGTTACATTTGAAAAGTACCTGTCCAACAAATCGCAATTGCTACTTTCGACCGATAAGCTTGCTTGATTCAAAACATCATCTTGATTGGTTTGAGGTTTGTGAACATGACTCGGGCTATGGATGAACGACAGAAGCTTTGAGTCAGGTGGGACATTTGACGAAGAAGAATCAACAGAATGAGACTTTTTGTTGACGTTACACAAGTGCTTTGCCTGTAAATCTTTTCTCAAAACCAATAGTGCCGAACGAGAACGAGCACTACTATTCTTCTTGTTGCAGAGAGAGTAAGCTTGAGTTAAGTTAGACATAAATACAATAACTGTAACGAAAAATAAAATAGATAACAACAAAAGATGCACAATAGTAAGATGAATCATTTTGCAAGTATATATATTTGAAGGATATTTTTAAAACGGCCTCGTGCTGCGTTATTACATGAGAAGCCATGTTTATGCGCACTTTTGACGAGCAAATGGGGCAAATCTGCAACGAGAGAAAAAGCTCTTGTTTAGTACTGCTTTTTGGCGGCAAAGAACAATTTCTGAATTATAAAGTGTATGAAAACATTAATTGTTATTGTGTGTTTCTATAAAGTTGGGATTTTTTCCCCACACTAATCTCTAGTAAGTCAAATATTGCATCTCTTCTTTTATTCCGCTGCTATCGATTACTTTGTTAGATCCACAAAATCAAACGAAGAACTCTAACCAACCCCAAAACCAAATCAATCTCTACAAAAACAACCCAATTGTTCAGACAATTTATCCGAAGGTCCCTTTTCGAAGCACCTCGCAAACAATCACAAATAGAGACACTTCAAATTTTTCAGTTCATAAGAATTCAGAGCTACACAAACATCCCAAAAGCCATCAAAACTACAAAATTAAACAAAACCCTCGATAAAGATTAGATTTTTACCCCAGGTTTAACCTCCATACGATGATCGGCATCAATGTGGCAGCACAAACCGAGAACATCGAAATCCTCGAGGCAAAAGGGGCATGCCAGCTCTGACTTTGCAAGATTCTGAACCTCGTACTCCTCGTCGTCCATTTCCTCGTCCTCATCGTCGTAATCTGCAGCAAAATCTAGAAAGAAAATATGCAGAAAC